TTTCACTGTAGGGCGCGTACGCTCGCCAGACAGACAGAGAGAGACATAGAGACAGAAAGCGAGAAATCACCCCCCAGGGGGGATGGTCACGCCGTAATCCCTTCTCCTCCATTCTCCTCTCGGGATCTTGGGCACGCACGCACACGCGCCCGGCGTGAGTTTTAAGCCACCGGGTCCGGGACATAAACCGCGGTCGACTACGTGGGAGTCCAGCGACATAGCCATTATGCTAACTGCTGGTTCCCCACGTGTGCAGTTTTTAATGATTTTTTTTACGGACTTCTCGAAGCCCCTGGGCCTGGGTGTGGGCCGGTGTGCACTCTCCTGCTGTGGGACGTGAGCGGCGTGCAGTGGGAGGTCCCGGGGCCTCGCCACTCAGAGTCGCCCCAGATGCGTTTCATAGCAGCCAGCTCGGCTTCTGTGCATTCCCTGTGTGTCTCCTGCTTGCTCTCCACCGTTCCGGTTTTGGGGTGGTTTTTATTTCCTCATGCAGAATCTGTGTACTTGCTGCTTTGAGAAGGTTTCTGATGAGCTCCTGGTGCTTCGCTCAGAGCTAGTCCGGGGTCAGTGCTCGTGCATCTCCTTAATGTTCACGTTCCTCACTGCCTCTCGTTACTTTAGAGCATCGCTCAGGAAACCCATACTCTCTGGAATTATTTTTCCCATTAATTTTTCGGTTATTGGCTTGTTTCGATGTGAGAGAGCGAGTGCGTGCTGCAGGAGGAGGAAAGAGAGAGGAGAGAGGGAGGTGCCGCGGCAGTCCTTCGAGAGCCACCCTCAAACCTCCCGTGAGGACCCAGCCTGTGAGCGGCACTGCATGCTTGGCTGGGCCTGCCTTTTTTTTAATTAGATTTTGAGAGTCATTCAGTAGTCATTTTCCCCTCATTTTTCTAATGGCAGTGAAAGTCTCAATATGGATATCTATCCTGTGTTTTGCTAGCTATATTAGTAATCACTTCTATAATTATGTGAATACATTTTATTTTAAAATTGTTTTCAAAATATTGAAACATTGGCTTCATCTTTAACTTGCTAGAAGTCACTTACTGGTACACAGTTTCATGATCTGACTGATTTGTTTTACAGTAAAAATGGCTATTTTTTATTGTGTCATAATTTGCTTCGTTACCTTTATTTGTTAAAGATCCCATTTAAAAGGTGAAACAACTCTTCTCTCTTAAAAAAAACTTAAAAGGTCATTTTTAGCTTAAATTCTCATTGATCACTGCCAGTTCAGATATTCGGCATTTGAGGAGCTTTTTTTAGTATTTCTTTTTGTGCTTCCTTTGTTCTGGCTCCCATCCTGTTGGACGCTTGCTACCTGGGAATTGCAAAATTACTCTTCATTTTCAAAGATGAGGAATAGGCTGACTCAATACCGATCTGTTTTCCCTTTTTTTTTTTTTTTTGGAGAGGTTTTTACTATAAGGCATGTGTACTCACCACAAAGACAGAGAGACAGAAAGCGAGAAATCACCCCTCCAGGGGGGATGCCACGCCGCAATCCCTTCTCCTCCATTCTCCTCTAGGGATCTTGGGCATGCACGCACACGCGCCCGGGGTGAGTTTAAGCCACCGGGTCTGGGGCTTTAACTGCAGTCGATTACGTGGGAGTCCAGCGACATAGCCGTTATGCCAATTGCTGGTTCTACAGTGTGTTTCCAAACATATCTTGAATGTAGATACTATTTGCACAAGGGATCTTCAAAAAATTAATGGAAAAGTCTTTGCATGGACTTTATATATTTTTTTAAACCCAAATAAATTTGTATTTTAGTTCCATTTTTTAGGAACTTTTTAAAGTCCTCTAAAATACTGATTTAAAGATAATGCAATCATTGAAGCTTTTTGTAACTTTTTAAATCAGTGAATATTGAAAACTATCATTTTCTTCTTTGTACACAATGTGTAACATTGTGAAGAGGTTCCTGTGCTCAAAAGCTTGGGAGACACAGTCCGACACTGTTTAACCATGGCTGCCCTCCTCTCTGGCCCTCTGGTTTAGAGTGTGGATTCCAGGCTTTATATCTGCCTTGCTATCCTCCTTTGTTTCTTCCTCTGTGGTTCTGCTCCTCTGTTCGTTCCTGTCCTCGGCCTCTCTCACTGCCTCTCGTATAAATTAGTGCGTATTACATGTTTGTCTATCAGAGGGGGTGAGCTTGTCTGCAGATAGCTCTTGTGGTGGTAGGGGCTTTGTGGTGTGGGAGAGAGGGCGTGGAGTGAACTATACCGGAAAGTGATGTGGAAATACTTTTTTTTAAAGCATTTATCTCCCAACGTTATTGAAAAAGATACTACTTTTGAAATTGAAAGTGATGAAGATTTAGAAATGGAGATGCTTAAGGTATGTTTCAAATGATGGGAAAGTTGCTTCACGTTCTTTGCAATAGACATTTGATTTAGTAAGATACAACCTAATTCTAAAACAGGCCTTGCCACAGTGAAATGGCTACAAAACATTTAATGTTAGGTTTCATTGTTTCCCAGTTCACTTTTACGCCTGTGGGTGGTCTATGAACAACGTTTTAGAAGTAATGTACTCATTTTGGAATATGTTTTTTGTATTCCCCTGATGTCACTTTTTTGCAGTCTATTTCTGGTAAATGAGTTGTGCTTAAGCTCTCCACCGTTGATGTGGGTTTCTCTTTCTTGCCGTCCACATGTATCCGCTTCTGTGAATTATTCTGGAAATTGATGTGGAAATACTTTTTTTTAAAAGCATTTATCTCCCGAAGTTATTGAAAAAGATACTACTTTTGAAATTGAAAGTGATGAAGATTTAGAAATGGAGATGCTTAAGGTATGTTTAAAATGATGGGAAAGTTGCTTCATATTCTTTCTAGTGGACGTTTAGTAAAATATAATCTAATTCTAAAACAGGCCTCATAGCAGAATTGCTACCAACTATTTAGCGTTAGGTTTCATGTTTCCCAGTTCATTTTTCTGCCTGTGGATGGTCTATGAATAATGTTTTAGAAGTAATGTACTCATTTTTGAAATTTTTTTTTTTGAGAGATTTTTGCTATAGGGCGCGTGCACTCTCCATAAAGACAGAGACAGACAGACAGAAAGTGAAAAATCAGCCCTCAGGGGGATGACCACGCCGCAATCCCTTCTCCTCCATTCTGTTCTCAGGATCTTAGGCACGCACACACACGTGCCCAGTGTGAGTTTAAGCTGTCGGGTCTGGGACTCCAACCGCAGTTGACTATGTGGGAAGCCAGCTGCTGGTCCCTTGAATGTTTTTCGTGTTTCCCCTGATGTCACTTTTTTGCAGTCTATTTCTGGTATATGAGTTGTGCTTAAGCTCTCCACCGTTGACGTGGGTTTCTCTTTCTTACCATCCACATGTATCCGCTTCTGTGCATCATACTGGAAATTGATGTGGAAATACTTTTTTTAAAAGCATTTCTCTCCTGGAGATAATGAAAAAGATACTACTTTTGAAATCGAGAGTGATGAAGATTTAGAAATGGAGATGCTTAAGGTATGTTTAAAATCATGGGGAAATTGCTTCATGTTCTTTCTAATGAACATTTAATTTAGTAAGATACAACCTAATTCTAAAACAGGCCTTGCCACAGCAAAATGGCTACAAAACATTTAGTTTTTTTTTTTTTATTTTTTTTTTTTAGAGGCTAGGGGGGGGGGGGCTGCCC